GTGCCCCCTCCCCGAGCAAGGTAAGGGGCCGCCGGGCTCTGGCACCGGTCCCCCGACGGGCGGGACGGGATGGGACGGGACGGGTGGTGGTGCCACCGCCACAGGGGTTGGGGTCCTGCTCGGTGTGTCCGTCCCCCTGCTTTGGTGTCCCCCGTCCCAGCCAGGCCACCCTCAGAGGCTGCCCGGCAGGGCTGGGGTGCCTGGCATCGTTCCTGGTCGGCCCACTCGGCTGGGGTGTGTCCCTCTGTCTGTCCCTGCATCCCTGTGTCCTAATGTTGCTCTGTCCCCATGTCCTCCTATCCCCATGTCCTGTATCCCCATGCCTGCTTTGTCCCCATGTCCCCATGCCCTTTATCCCCTATCCACCTATCCCCATGTCCCCATGCCCCCTGTGTCCCCATGCCCCCAAATCCCTGGTCCCAGTATCCCTATATCTGCATCTCCCCTTTCTCCCACATCCCCATGTCCCCCATATCCCCAGTCACAAGTCCCCATGTCCCCCATGTCCCTTCCAGCCCATCAGGGATCCAGGCGGACAGACAGCAGGATGGACAGAGGGTACCACATCCCCTATCCTGCCCACCCCTCTGTCCTCCCCTCCTCGGGTATCTCGGGGGGGGGGGGCCAGGACCCCCCCAAGGCCCCATGGGCATCCCTACAGTGCCCTGGGCAGGAGGCCTGAGGCTGCAAGGATGGGCTCTTCCCACACTGGGAAGTGAGTCCCAAATCGGGGACCCCTCAGCCCCCCCAATGGCAGCGGGGGGCACCCTGGCTCTGCGATGGGGTTACGGGGTCCTGCCCCACTCATATTGCTCCACCTGCGTCCCCCCTCCCACCAATAAAACAATGTGGGACAGTCTCAGCCTGGCGCTGGGAGAGGCTAAACCCTGCCTGGGGCCCTGGGGGGGCTGTAACCCCCCCCACACACTGTCCCCATGCAAGCCCAGGGCACAGGGCTGACCCTGCACAGGGGGGGTTTGGGCCCGGCAGCGCGGGTGGCCCCGGGGGCAAGGGCATTTCAAGGGCGTGCTGACCCCGGCGGGGCGAGCGGGGAGCCGGCAGGGGGCCGTGAC